GAATCGAATTTTGACTCGAAAACGAATCGAATCAAATCAAATTTTTACATACTGATAGCTAAAAAAAATTCAAACTTAAAAAAAATTTATTTTAAATGTACAAGTATAAAAAATTAAAAAATTAATAATAAATTATAAATGTAATTAAACAATATTTAATAAAAACAATATTTTTTGATAATATCTGTATGTTGAAAATGAGTTGACAATAACGAGAAAGAGAGATCATGGAAGACAGCCAATTTCTCTCTCATTCTCTCTCTCATTATACCATTGAATGGAAAGAGATAGAAATGTTTCGTTTTCCATGGTCCCTTTTTCTTACTTTTATCGACCATTTTGACACGAATCACGCAGTCCATTCTCTATGTCTTTGGTGTATATCGAAACACGGCCAGATTACGCAGTTATATCAGAAAGATGAAAATATCTAATAGAATCCAATGACAACTGACGCGATGAATAAGCGCATGCGCGAAGATTGATATGCGCTAATACAAGATTGATGATAGGAGATACACGGAAGAGACAAGAGGCAAATTATTCAAAATCGAACCACTGATGATTCGAAATTTCGAACTTATCGATTTTGAATCTTTCAGATCCGAAAAGAAATCGAATTAAATCTACTGTGATTCGATTCGAATTCGAACTAATTCACATACCTTTACTAGTATTAAGAGGTTTTCAAAACATTACAATAAAGTTATTTTTCATAAAGTACTTTTCGAGTTATAAAGCTTGAATTGATTTTAACAAGTTGATTTTAACAAATTATTGCATAATGCTGGCGGTACTGTAACTTCGAGCCTTATAACTCGAAAAGTACTTTATGAAAAATAACTTTATTGTAATGTTTTGAAAAGCTTTTAACATCAGCTATTAGATTCTAAAATCAAAAGTATGGTATTTCGTTAAAAAAAAAATTGATGTGACCTTGGTGACGCCACTCCAAGTTCAAACTGATAAGATCAATAAATAGATTTTTTTAAACTCTACAACTTTTGTTCTAAAACATTTTTTTGTAAAACTTATATTTTCGGAGATATTCAAGTGTTCCGACTTTTTTGGGACATTCTGTATATAAGATGTCTCACATAACTGTGATTTTTCTGGCACTTCCGATGATCTGACAAAAATTAGTTTGGATAAAAGGTAATCAGTTTTCAATCGGCTACAAATGCAATATTAAAAATTTGCAAAGTCTCTTTTTTAAGAAAAAACTCAAAATCATCCTATTTTTTTAAATGGCACTACATATTTTTTATTATAACTGGTGTCAAGACGAGTTCAATGACCTGCTATGACCTTGAGATGACTTTATAGTTAGACGTGAAAAACAAACGTAGCCATTTCAGAATGCGTGATATTTCCGAATGTAGTTCACACGTGTATGTACATAGAAAAAATATCAACATAACTTGTAGTATAGCGTAGCTTGAACGCTTCAGTTCTTATCTATGTTCAGTTTTAGTATTGCTGTAGATCAAATCATAGTTCAGTCTGTTTGTCGAAAATGTATTCCTATAATGAGAAAGTTGATATGCTGTTAATATTCGGTGAATATAAAAGGAATGCACATGAAGCTACAACTCTGTATGTCACAAGATACCCAGAGACATCACCTGTGTGCAACAATGTTTTATAATATTGAAAAGAATTTAAGAAATTATGGAGAATTTGAAAAGAAGAAAAGGAACAAATCGCATTTAAGTACTGCAGACAACTCTTATGGTCTTAGAAGAAAATCCGCACATTTCTATTCGTGCAGTTGCTACTGAAACTGGTTTATCTAAGAGTTCTATAGATGGTTCATAAGATGGTAAAATAGAATCGTTATCATTCTTACAAAACCAAAGTACAACATTTACGTATAACTGATTCACTACGTTGTCTAAATTTTATAATATGGCTAGTTGTCACATATGAAAGTAATCCTGAAATATATAAATTATAGAATATCCTATGGACAGATGAATGTAAATTCTCAAATAATGATGTAATTAACTGTCATAATCATCATTTTTGATCGGGAAGGATAATAATCCCCATTGATTCCAAGAATAATTTTCAACAAAAAATTATAGTGAATGTTTGGTATGGTCTAGTATACGGTCATCTGATTTTACTTTTATGAACAGAATTTGATAGCCCAAGCTTCCTTAAATTTTCTTTGTTCTCAACTTCCAATTGTTGCATTGCATTACATTGTTGCAAGTGTTGAAAATGATGTTGTGCAACATTTATTTATTTCAACAAGATGATTGTCCATTTCATAACACTCGGATTGTTGTTCAATATCTATTAGGTGTATAACTTTGCTTCCGCCGTTTTCCTATAGATGGCTTTAGCAGTAAGTGGTGGTCGAAATAAATAGATCATAGACGTCATACAATAAACTTGGGCATCTGTCAACATAACCCCATAGAAATATTAGTCGATTTGTGTCTGCATCATAAAGTTATTCTCGATTGAAAATGTCAGTTTACGAGCCAAATTCTCGTCATTTGCGGGAGATTTTAATTTTTTGCTTCAATATGAAGAAATCTGC